ATTCCTCCTATCTAATTATCATAATATATGATTGGATACTAGAAATAGGTAATATGTTCAGATTAATCCATTTTATTCTGCCATGCAGTTAAGCAAAATGATCTCAATAAATCTGGAAAGCAAATCACTGGTTTGCACTAATTTGTTTTAATAAATCCCCATGGGGGGCGCCTGGGTGGCGCAGTCGGTTAAGCGTCTGACTTCAGCCACGTCACAATCTCACCGTCTGTGAGTTCGAGCCCTGCGTCGGGCTCTGGGCTGATGGCTCAGAGCCTGGAGCCTGTTTCCGATTCTGTGTCTCCCTCTCTCTCTGCCCTTCGCCCGTTCATGCTCTGTCTCTCTCTGTCCCAAAAATAAATAAACGTTGAAAAAAAAATTTTAATAAATCCCCATGGTACCTCAAGATTTGCTATTACCTCTGTCTCTACTCCAAAAAACCACAAATATACACACACACACACATATAAATATAGAAATAAATACATAAATACACACACACACACACACACACATATATATATGCAAAGAGGAGACAAAACGATCAAAATGTTAGTTGCACAGACAGCTTCAGAAAAAGCAGGATAGAAAAAATCTTTGAAATGCTCAGAAATAATCCCTATAGGTAAAGATCTCTCAAAGAATGCCAAAAAAAAAAAAAAAAAAAAAAAAAAAAAAAAAAAAAAGCCAGGGGACTAACAATAATCTTACTTTTTTTAAGATTCTTTTTTTTTTTAATGTTTATTTATTTTTGAGAGAGACAAAGAGACAAAGGCAGAGAGAGAGAGGGAGCCACAGAATCGGAAGCAGGCTCCAGGCTCTGAGCCATCAGCACGGAGCTTGATGCGGGGCTGGAACCCACGACCGTGAGATCATGACCTGAGCCGAAGTCGGACGCTTAACCGACTGAGCCACCCAGGCGCCCCTCCAATTCTTACCTCCTTATTATGAAACTCTAGGGAGCCTCTTAACCTCTCTCCAGCCCAGCATTATCGTGCCGATCGATGTGGCCACACTTAAGCGTAAAATGTAAGAAAATCTTAATCTGATGATTATTAACATCACGCTGAAATATTTCTGCGCAACGTGTCATTATTTCTCAAACACAGTTGTAAACGGTGTTGGGGGAAAAGTAAATAGATAGAAAGCAAATGTTAGCGACTAGTGAATCCAGGTTGGGGGTCAGCGATATCCGTGGTGCTGTTCTCTCAACATTTCTGTAGATCTGACTTTTCTCAAAGTGCAGAAAAAACAAAAAACAAATAAGATGTTACAGATGCCTCTCCCGGACTCCTTTGCGTGAACATAGACAAGCTTCTTACTCTAAGCCTCTTTTTTTATGTTTCTTTATTTTTGAGAGACAGAGACAGAGCATGGGGGGGGGGCGGGCAGAGAGAGAGAGGGACACACAGAATCGGCAATGCCAGCCCCCCCTTCTTGAGGTCAGCAAGTTTTCTTTCACCTTTGCATTTTGCAAGAGCGACTTTTCCGTTTTTGAGACATGTTTGCACGCCCGGGAGATTGTTCTAGGGAGTCTAAGGCCTTTTGTCTGAAGTCTAGAAATGCCTTTGGGGTCTGGGAAACGTCATTCGGGGTGGACGCCCTGGAAAAGATGTTTTCCAATTTTCCGAGTCACGGCTGAATTTGTTGAGACGTGAGGGTGCGTGTTCTTGGTGGTGGTGAATTCCTCATGACATCATCAGCTGCCCGTAAGTTTGAGACTGAGCAGACACCCTGAGATTTCCATCGGGGGTCACGTGACGGTTGCTCCTGCGGGAAGCTAAGGGGGGACTGTCACTGGCCCATGGAAGCCCTTCCGAGGGGGAGCTGATCACCGGGTGGGATGCCCTTGAGACACAAATTATAGAGCCGCCCTGGGCTGCTCGGTTCGTGTGCTTTCTCAAGGACAGACGTGCATTTTTGCACAGGACCGCATCGAAACGCATCCACCGCCCTCGGGCCTGGAAAAGGAAATCGAACTTTCTCCAAGGCTGGGAAAGATTCCTTGTCAAGCAGCCACTTAATCGTTGGCTGTGGTTTCTCCTCTAATGATTTTTAGATTGTATTTACCCGGATATTCGGGGACTTGGAGAAAGTCCAGCAGAGCTGTCTCTGGGGGTGGGACAGCCTCCTGCGAGCGGTTCCCCCACACCCCTGCAGAGGCACTGTGCATCAGTCAACGGACGCAAGCCCCAGGAGCATCTGGGGCTGGGCTGAGCGAACAAGCACAGCAGGTGTGGGACACAGCGTCTTCGTCGTATGTGGACCTACTGCCCAACCGTCAGGTTGGCCGTGTTCCTGCTTCGGTCCATGGGTGATCTTTTTAAATCCTCTCTTTAAAGAAAATTATCTTCATTCCCCCCCTCCCCCCCCCCTTCAATTTCACTGACGGTCCTTTTCATCTTGTTTTGACCCATCGTTTCTTGCTTTGTAACAACCTTTACCAATCCTCTTTCTGAAAATGCAAAGCAATTTCTCCCTTGACATTTCCTTGACTGGCCCCAAACCAGGCTTAAAAATAGACAAGCCCTCCTCTTCCCGCTTCTTTTCTTTTAGTGTTCTGTCTCCTTCTGTGAGGGTAAAGCATATTTTCGTGAGCCCACCCCATCTCTGTTGGTTTTTAAATGAGGAGAGTTCACATTTGCCCGTGTGTGCCCAGAAACAGTATTCACACGTAAAACCTTTTCTTTTTAAAATTTTTTTTAATGTTTATTTATTTTTGAGAGAGAAAGAGACAGAGTGCAAGTGGGGGGAGGGGCAGAGAGAGAGGGAGACACGGAATCCGAAGCAGGTTCCAGGCTCTGAACTGTCATAACAGAGCCCGACGCGGGGCCTGAACTCATAAACCGTGAGATCACGACCTGAGCTGAAGTCAGACGCTTAACAGACTGAACCACCCAGGCGCCCCTATTTTTGAGAGACGGAGAGAGAGAGAGAGAGAGAGAGTGAGCGGGGGGGGGGACAGAGAAAGGGAGACACAGAATCCGAAGCAGGCTCCAGGCTCCGAGCCATCAGCACAGAGCCCGACGCGGGGCTCGAACCCACGAACTGTGAGATCATGACCTGGGGTGAAGTCGGACGCTCAACCGACTGAGCCACTCAGGTGTCCCACGTGAATTCTATTCTTATCTTAAATACCATCACACGAATGCTGTGAAGTTCTTTCTTACAACTCTGGGATTTTACACTTTTCTACAGAAGCTAAAAAAAAAAAAAATGGTTTACATATTACATCTTTCTCTAAGAAAGACACGGCTTACTCTAACTTGCGTGACCAGTAAACGCTGGGTCTATCATTTGTTGTTTCCGCTAAGAATCGAATTCATCAACCACGATAATATGCGACCGCCTTGGAGTTGGATAGTCTAGTGATGAAACACAGCTGTGCTGTCTGCTGGCTGGGCGACCTTGGAGCAGTCACAGACCGTCCCCGAGCCTTTAGGTCACCGCCTACAGGGTAGAATTAACCGTGAAGGGTTGTATGTGCCGTTGTGTGCGATGGGCCTAGCACAGTGCCTGGAGTGTAGTAGGAGCTCAAAACTGGCAAGTCTGTTTTATCGTTATGTCTATAATTGTATTGTGATTTAATGTTTGTTTATTTATATATTTATTTATTTATTTATTTTATTTGTGGGGGCGGGGGAGACACAGAATCCGAAGCAGGCTCCAGCTTCTGAGCTGTGAGCACAGAGCCTGACGCGGGGCTGGAACCCTCTATCCGTGAGATCATGACCTGAGCTGAGGTCGGACCCTTAATCGACTGAGCAACCCCCCCCACCTCCCCCCGCCAGGGGCTCCAAATCATCTTGTGACTTAAATCTCACTGCGAAAGTGTGGCTGGAATGGTTCGAGCTTAGCGATTCTATACGAACAAGTGTTATGACCCTTATTACCGCGATCATTAACCTTATCGTAACTTCAGCATCAAAGTGTGATTAGAGTGGTTTCAGAACTGTTTATTTCATGATAACTGACCTGATTCATGTAAAGAATTTGCAAAGGAGGTATACTGCAAGGCTATTTCTTTTTCTTTTTTTTTTGCAAGGCTATTTCTTAACTGCACGACAGACACGCTCTGTGTGCTCTCTAACATTGCCGCAAATACAAATAAAACTTCAAAATTGCCTTCCTTCTTCCTAAGGAGCCACAACAAGCTTGAGCAGTGGCCGATCGCCCGTATGGCATCTAACTGCGTGCATTCACCGCAGTCGGCTGTGGGTGGGGGAAGAAGCCTGCCAAGGCCCAGAGATACAGGGATTCCTTCCCAGAGCT